AGTGGTCGTAATCTAATAGTAAGAAATGGACGAAGTTCTAATCTGCTTATCGTATTGCCCTAACGGGTCCCTAGCACTGCATTTACCACTCACTTTTGTCACCCTACTCTACCATCCCGTCTTATCGAGTGAAACACACTGAGCGGTCAAAGCTACATCGTAGATACCGACGACATTAGGATTTTGGTCGGTAGGTGGCCTCTCTTAGGTCCCTTATCTTCTCTTATCAGCTATGATCAGTTCTTGTCACCGAGAACCTACGATACCGTCATATCCTACCTCTTTTACTAAAATGCTCAGGCAATTGCCAAAATGTTAGTACGAAAAGTGTAATCCTACCAAATTCCGACGCTCTAGGTCCACGTAAACAGGAGTTATGAATTTGCGGCTTAAACTTTTATTGTGCACGCCCCGCTCCTGTCCATGGGGTCCGGTCCTGCCACCACCCATAAGTGTTCCCATCTTGCCCCCCGTACTGCTACCAAGTTTGAACGCTCTAGGTCCACGGGGACCAGAGTCATGAATTTCCGGTCAGACACACACACAAACACACCGACAAACCAGCAGATACACTTAGCAAATTATATATAGTAGGATACTCCCATTATATGCAATCTACTTCCCTACAGATTTGCAACTGCCGTTGCACAATGTCATGACTTCGTTATAAGGGACCTCGCAGAACTCCCAATAATTGGTCGACATTTCAGATGATCTCAGATAATGGAACTACGAAGGTTTTCCTACCAATTACAAATCATTGGTACCGCTCGATGAGCCACCCACTATTTCGTGTGTAAACAACACCATGTGGGTCCAGGCGGTTTTGTTCTCTTACACTCCAATCATGGTTCTATTGCGTTCCTCACTTTTAGAAAGTCTTCAGCAAGCTGCTCTGATCGCACCACAATATGAACAAGGGTTTGAGCTGCTTAAGGAGCTACTAAACGCCTGACAAAGAGCTCTCAGACGGGCTCCCCTCCCCCAATCTCATGCTGTCGTTTGCTCAAGTGTAAAGAATTTGTACCAGTGAGGCACGTCAATGCACAACTGATAATTTAAGGTTGTGCAACTGATTTAGTCCGTTCCAGAGCACCAGGGATTTCTTAATTTTGCTTATTCCTCGCTGAGAAATTATTCTCTTTACATCACGCCTTGTCAAAAACCATTATACCGTCGTAATGTCGAAACGCACAACATCTTCGAATGTATAGCTATTCTTCACGTGAAAAAACTCATTTTCCATCCGTAGCTTCAGTGCCATATCGATTTTCATTTGGTTACGGTCAAAAAAAGAAATCTTCAAATCATATCGCCATCTGAGAATCGGGAAAGTTTCTTGACCAATAGTAGGAAAGTCTGTTGTTGATAAGCGTTCTTTTCTTGCTGTCGGTATATAACTTTTTACCTTAGGCTTGTCGATTGTTCAGTAGAATTGACTAAAGAAGGTAGTAAGAATGCAGACCTGAGGAAATATAGAAGTGTCATCCTCTGCTAATCCAACTGCTGGATATGTTTTGGTCAGAACAGCATCATTTTCGAGAAAATGGATCTCGTAGTCGCCGAAATTCGATTGTGTAAGTCTTGAGTCTCCCGTTACCGTCGATGGACCCGACTGTAGTGAACGTTTGCTCTCTTGCTGAAGTTCTCGCTGGAAACCAGTCAACATCAATACATCGTTCAACAAAAAAAAATGTTGAAAACATAAAGGATAACGATGTTCGAATTATGCCAAAGAGCAGCAGGATTCGGCTTGTTTACAAAGTAGGACGTAAACTGGAAGTGTCAAATATGCAAAAAAGTGGTCCGCAAGACTATTACAGACCACTGTCTATTGCAAATGCTATATTTCATACCGAAGTTGGCGGCTTCCTCAGCCTCATAGAAGGTATCTGCCATAGCAAACGCTGCTGCTCCTCTTCTTCTTTGCGAATTCTGAACAAAAGTGAAAATGGCGAATTCCATTTGCGAATTATGCAACGGAATCAGCTAATGTGTTTATCGATGGCTCAATTGGGTAGTACCTTAGTTCGTGTCTGCTCGTAGATGTGGCTTCGCTAGTGAATAGCATGGATTCGAGCCTTACCCTAGCAGCAGATTCGTTCACTCTTTTTACATAGCAAATGCAAATTCCCAAACTTCTCTACATGTTTGGTTTCACCTAAACCCAATAAGCCGCTAAACATTTCAAGACAAATGCACACGTTTAACCACTCCCTCAAATTCTCATACATGATGCTTTTCATAGTTCTTCTGTTTGATAGCATAGTATAAGCAAACACAGATGAAGCCTTTTCAAAAAATCCTTACCTTACAGCGTAGGCAATCAATACCACCGTCACGATCAGTAGAACTACTATCAGTCCTCCTCCAACCATGATATATACGCCATACTGCTCCCAGAATGGTTTGGGGCAATCAGTGCCCGTGTAGCCACATTGCGGACGAACGAGTGGTCTATAATACAGCTCTATGAAATACCGACAGTGGTAATATAGAAAAAAATCATACCGTTGACCACCTCGAGTTCCCCAAAGAGTTGTTGCTTCATCTGTGTAGCCTTTCGTCATTATCTCAAAAAGGTCACTAATGGTTTTGGTCCAATAGCGTTGAAATGGAAACGTTCTCACAAGTTACTCACTGGTATCCCATTTGTTATTGTGAAATTGAGTCCAGTGACTTGATTGAAGTTGGCATCCAGGACGTAGACCGAGAACAGTGGAATACGTGATCCATTCGCATTCATGGTAACCAATCCAGTCAGCCCTGGAAGAATTGAGAATTTGCAGCAGAGCCTTCTGGATACGGCAATGCATAACTAAGTTGCCAAAGCTTTTATGTAGAGTAAACCTATCTTTGCGTCATGAAATGGGAAAGCAAGGGAGTGAAGGTCGACGGCTGCTACTTACATCTCCGCTT